TAAAAAGTACATATCACTTCAGTATATATTTCCAAAAAATAAAAACTTACATATTGTTAAATTTTCAGAGGTAGAAAATATGAATTAATGAAAAATAATCAATTTCTATCTTGAACGCTAATCATTCGGTCCTGCCAAGGTACTGCTCCCACACCATTAAAGTAAGCACACCATTCGTCTCTGAAAGTTAATGCATCATTAGCATGACGATTTTCTGTACGTTTACCAAAGGGTAAAAATCCTTTAGAGGTAGTTTCTTCACGCCACCTTCCAGGTCTAATCTGTCCAATCATCTCATCTTCATGATCTATCATGTCAGGAGGAGTGTACAATGCACGTCCAATCGAATCACTGCGTAACAAGTTATGTAAACACAAAATAGCCATTACTATGTCACGTGCATCGTCTGGATCATAGCGCATTAGAGAAAGAAAAATTTGAAATCTGTTTGCCATAACTCCAAAGGCATTTTCTGCGCAACGCCTTGCTCGAGATAATCTGAAAGTAAAGGCAAAACTACTAAATAGTTCCATTCAGTTCATTTACATTACAGTCCGACATCAAACTTACCTATAATTGAATATTCGCCGATCTTTCTTGCCTCGAAGTTGTTCTTTGGGATATGGGATTAATATTTTGTTAGTTAACATAAACCCTTCATCAGCCACAATAATAAATGGAAATGGTTTTTGTATGCGAGAAAGAGGTGTGGGTGGTGGAACATTTATTGTATTTTCTTCTAATTGCTGCTTTAGTGAGCATTTGTTCCACACACCTTTATCTGATATGCGACCATTAGTGCCCACATCTGCATAAATGATGCGTAGTTGAGGATCCACAATAGCAAGAAGGACAATGCTAAAGGAATCTTTATAATTGTAATACAAGGACCCTGATTGTAATGGTGGTGAAATTACAATATGTTTCCCATCCATTGCACCTATACAATTGCTGAAGTTCCATCTATCGCCATATTCAGCGGCTACAGCTTTCCATTCCTCTTCTGTTGATGGGAATCTAAGATACGTGTCCTTTAAAACACTGTACAAAGCTTTACACGTCTCTTTAATAATTCCTGAAATGGTGCTCTGACCTATTCGAAAGAGCAAAGATAACGATTGTTGGGATTCACCTGAAAATCAAAATTAATTTTCATTATTACTCGAGCACATAATACTGTTGTTGCTTATAACGTTCCATAATTTGAAAAGAGTAATAACATACCAGTTGCAAGATGTCGTAATGTCACAGCTAGCCTTTCATCAGGAGGAATGCTTAGTCGCAAATGAGTGTCTTGTTTCTTTATAAGTGGAGAAACTTTACTCACGAGCCAGTCAAACATTTCAGGAGTCATTCGAAGGCATCTGAAAAAGATTAGTGGATATAGATGTACATACTTCATAAAGATCAACTAACCTAATTATCAATTCTATTATACTAAACTATAGCAAAGAGCATCTTCATAAATGCCTTAGTTTCAGAAATAACACGTACTTGCGATATCTTTCTGGATCTTCCATTCGAAGTTCAAGAAAGAGATTATTATGTGCACCCTGTAATTCTCTTCTCCCAATCCAATGGTGAATCCATAAGTTTCGATTATGTATGCGACGCCAAAGCTCTACAATAATTATGTAGAGAGCAATTACACACATTTTTCTTCTGTAATGATATTGCAATCTTCTGATAGGAGCCATCTTGAAACTTGCGATACGAAAAGGCGCAGAACGGCGACAGCAATAGCAATCGCAACGACGCAGTGTGATCGGTCCAATCTTACGGCAACGTACGAAAAAACCATAACGTAGCACGTAACGTTATATTTTTATATTTTTTTCGTGTGTTACCGTAAAATTGGCTCACGTTTCGCGTAAGGTAAAATTAGCTTACATATCGTGTAACATAAAGTTATCTATAAAGTTGTGTAAGGCAATGTTTGTACACTAACCCTTTTACAATCTAATATTTTTAAAATCTTTCAACAAATAATCTAAAAAGATATCATTAGCATAACCATATTACAATAACATTTTATAATAAATGTTGCGACGTTTTTAAATATATTGTTCTTAATGTTGTAATAGTTTTTAAATGTTACATATAATGTTATTATATTATTGTGAATATTTGATCCAAACATTAAAAATAATTTCTACACTGATTTTAATATTTAGAAGTATTATAATATTGAATAACAGTTGAAAAAATTATGAAATACAAAACGTCTATCAAATCTACATAAAATCAATGTTTAAAAAATTTCGATTATTTTAAAAATACTATATAGTATCTTAAATTTTTCGCCTTTTTTATTCCTATTAAACAAAAAAGAAAAATTAGATTAAATATCAATATAATTACTTAATGAAGAATTTTCTTTATCTATATACTCCGTTGTTAGACTATTATTATCTAGACTATTGTCATCTGGTGGTCCTTCTTCATTTTCTTCGTCTTCGCTGCCCGATGAAGATTCTTGCATATTACCTTGAACTGCCTCTAAATATTGTGATATTTTAAGAATATCCCTGCTTGCTAGGGGTTGTCTGTAATGTTCTCGGTGTATTTTTTCTGCATGTCCCATGAATGTGGCCAAATCAGAAACATCGACATCATTAAGATTCAATTGTATGCAATGAGTTGCTACGTGTTTTCGTAAAATCGTTCCACGTAAACTTGAAGATTCAATTGCATTACATTCTCGTGCAAATTTGCGCATTAAAAGACAAGCTCTTAGGTATCTGTATCTATTTTTGTTGTAACCACGTAGTCCAAAAACATATGGGTTTTTCTGCGGTACTTTGGCTTGTGTACGAAATTGTAAAATCAGATTAATGCATTTCAGCAGTTCATTCGTCAACAGCACAGGCACGGTACGTCCCAATTTACCTCTTATACAGAATCGACTATAATTCTCTGCTATTTTTCGGTTCTTCTCTGATAATGATGTATATGTATATCGCTAGACATGTTTTCATTTATTGTTTCATAATTTTTAAAATCTTCAATAAGTATTCGTTCTATTTCTCCTGCCCTTCGTCTATTGAATACGTGGATTGATGTTAATGTTGCTTCTGCTAAAGAAACCCAATTTTCATAAGAAAAGATCTTTTCCAATGTTATATAAGCTTCTCGTCTTACTTTTTCCAAATGCTTATACAATTTCATAATATCTTGCATTGATGGGAGATTCAGTTTTTTATGTCTTTTATGAGCTGACTTTTCGATGACAGTTTTATTAACGCTCGTTCCTATATCGACAACTAGTAGCTTTAAAAAATCTTTTATTAATTTCTTTTTGTCTGACTCCTCTGTCTTTATATATTCGGCAGTAAGTAGATTTCCCACATGTTTAAGTAGTGTTGGTATGTAAGTTTGCTGCTACTGCTGGAGTTTTATAAACATGTTCTTCCTTATCGTATCCTGCTACTATATTAATTGCAGAAATACAATCGTCATATACTTTCGGATAATAGAGTGACTTGAAATCATCAATACTTGTATTAATTTTTTTCAAAGCCAAAAGAAATCGACCAAGAAGGCGCAACCTTGCGCGTATCATATCATGCTGGTGTTGTGCTGTGTACTTTACACATAACTTATTTGCATATGTTATTAACAATTCATCATAACGTATAATTCTTGTTACTTCATCCTCCCACATTACTGGAAATACTGTTTTTTTAATGTTTCATTTGCTAAAGGATGTATTCTGCAAGTCACTTGTCTGCCCATAATCATGACACATTTACGTTTACTAAAATCTTTTTTAAAGCACTTTCGAGAATGGTAACGTATGGTGTTTTTTGAAAAAAAACCTTTACATTTTCCACGTGCTATAAAGTTCATAGCAGACTTTTTTTTTTACGTGTGGAAATCCTTTATGGATACCCGGGCCCCCCTCTGGGAAGGGAGTTTACAAAGTGGCCCGGGTTATGTGGGACTGCCCCCCTAGTGGCGATCGGGTGTGGCCGCTAGCATTGCGACCGCTGGGCTTACCGCACTAAAACCACACGGTGACCTGCGCGGTGCTGTAACTTGGGGGACGCCCAGGACTTGGCAGAGCCATTACTTCTGGACGCCTCCCGCACCGGCCCGCCGTTTAACGGGCGGGCCCTCGTGCACCCTCCCCCGGTGTTATGGGGGGAGAGGCGACTCCCCCCGCGGGGGGAGTCCACGTTCATAGCAGACTTATCGTATTGTTCATTGGGACGTCTGCATACAATAAGTTTTCCATTATTAATTTCTGAGCTTGTGTTGAATTTGAAATTACCATTTCTTCGAATAATATCGATTATTTTTTTCTTTCTGGGTTGCCTTTAGGTAATACGATAAACTTTTTTACTTCAGGTTCATTGCTGTGTATAGTTTCCAAATGACGTGGAAGTTGTGTCTGCATTTTTAGGCAGAAATAGCAGTAGTTTTGTTTGATCACTTTTGCATTAGATTTTTCTACATACGTATCTTCATCGTTGCATGCAGGTGTACTAATATTTCCTGCCGACACATCAATACTTGATACTGAAGATGTTTAGTAAATAGATAACTCAGTGAGTGGGACTTTCGTCCGCCTTAATGTTGAGCGGCGAGAGGACAGACAAGAGACACAGAAAATCTAGCAGAAACAATATTTAATGTTAAACACAAATTCAGTCGAAAATTCTTATAGTGTAGCCGCAATCGCAGCCTCCTTGTTAAATGACATAGAAGGACCATACAATGCACGCAAATTAAATTACAACCGTAGAAAGAGCGTATGCTCATGAAATAACCTGAAAAGTGGATCGAGCAAGTAAACGCAAATGATTGTGATTAAAATTACCATCGACAACGCAGAGATTCGACGGTATGAATGCAAAGAGAATATAACTTTATCCTAAATGGGAAATATGTGAGAATAGATCTTAATCTAAACGATAAATATGTGAGGATGTACCTTAACTTAAACGGTAAATATGTGAGAGTAACAATGAACACTTTAGACAGTTGTGCTGTGTAGGTATGCGAGAACGAGCAAGAGATGCATTGAGCGTTAGCGCGATTATAGTGATAAAGAAAGAGAACGAGTCGATTCGCGCGGGTACAATGTACGAGAAAGACAAGCGCACTTCGAGATGATATGACGTACGCGAACTAGAGAGAGACAGATGCGCTTCGGGCGGATAGACAGTACGCGAACTAGAGAGAGATAGACGCACTTAGCGCGGATATACGTTACGCGAACTAGATAGAGACAGACGCACTTTGAGAGAATATACGATACACGAAATAGAGAGAGACGGACGCACTTCGCGCGGATATACGTTGCGCGAGCAAGATAGAGACAGACGCACTTAGAGAGGATATACGTTACGCGAACTAGAAAGAGACAGACGCACTTTGAGAGAATATACGTTACGCGAACTAGAAAGAGACAGACGCACTTTGAGAGAATATACGATACACGAAATAGAGAGAGACGGACGCACTTCGCGCGGATATACGTTGCGCGAGCTAGATAGAGACATACGCACTTACAATTAGAGAGGATCACGAGACACGGTAGTGTCTCGCGCCAAGTGTAAGCGCAGCTAGTAACGCGCGCGCGAGACCGACCGTGCAAGTTTACGCGAGTACACGACTTGACGGGCCCTCAGATTTTTGGATCTCAACAACGGCTGATCCCACGAACTTGAGACTGCGCTTAATCGATAGCTTGGGTACGATTTGCATAATAAAAGTATTTTTACTTTTTTCCTACGTGCCCCATGAGTAGAGATATTGCAATACAAAGTCCACGAGTCTGAATTTTCACGTAATTTTTATTAAGAAACATCGTCATCGTGGTCGTCGTGGTCGTCGTGTCGTGGTCAACCAGGCCAAAATCCATCTCACTTTTCTGCCGCAACGTCGCGTTGGCGCTGCTGACGTGACTGATTACCGACATTACCGATGTTACCGACGATGACATTATATGTATACTTTGAATTCGATGTCCATGTGTCCCAGGTTGCCGTTAATACTTTGAACTCGATGTCCACGTGTACCAGGTCGCCGATGACGACGTCCACATAGTGCGCTCCGTAGTTTTCGGTGTCTAGGTGTATCAATACCTTGAATTCGATGTCCACGTGTCCCAGGTCGCCGATGACGACGTCCACATAGTGTGCTCCGTAGTTTTCGGTGTCTAGGTGTATCAG